AATGTAATTGCAGCCTTCGGGCCTTCACTTCACATGGCCTATCGAGGTTTCACATTACTCACCCTATCGCGGCCTTCGCTCAATTTGGCCTACTGCAACCATCAGGTAAGTGTGACTATTATTGTTTACGTAACTCTGCCTATCTTTGTCCTTCGCAAAATCAGCCTGTAATGACTTTTCTCATTACATGAACTACGCTGTCTTTGCGTTAAATGGCATAATGTGGCCCACCATGAGAGAGCTCATACAGTCATTCGTTTGTAAATATTTATGCTTTTTGTTAAAACCTAATGCTGTATGTTTAAGGCAAATTAAGCAAATACTGGTGGTGGTGTCATACATATTCATAACATCTGCTCTTTCACTGCCTCTTGCGGCCTTCTGTCACGGCTTTTAGTGGATATCCTCTCTACGGCCTTTTGTAGCCTTTCTCTCATGGCCTATCGGGGCCTTTCTCTCTGCGGCCGGTTCAGTTCCATTTAGTCACCTTTTAAAAGCTGCAGTCTGTCACCGCCTCAATACACCGGCCACTACTGCTGTTGAACGTGGAGTTCAAACATCAGCCTCAAGCTACTGGGAAGATTGTCATCCTCCGCATTTGAATCATACATTAGATCTGAACCACAAACCATCACAAAAGTTTCAGCCGATAACATCAAGCTGTCCTTAAGGTAATCTATATGCAATTACTGGTGGTGGTATAATACCTATTCATATTAATCCCAACAACCTCTATGGTTTACTGCGCCTTAACTCAGCCTTTCTTTCTGTGGCCTGTCTTTCGTGGCCTTCCCCTCTGTCTTGTGGCATTTCCCACTGTGGCCTATTTACATGTCCTTCCTCTCTGTGCCCACTGAGGCATTTCATTCCACAGCCTCTTGCCTTTCTCACTATGGCCCTTCTGGGCATCTCCATCTGTGGCCTATCTAGGCTTTTTCTCCGCGGCCTTTCTTTGCGGCCTATCGGGGCCTTTTCCCCACTGAGGCCTATCGGGGCCTTTTCCCCTGCGGCCTATCGTGGCCTCTACCACTATCTGGCCTATCGTGGCCTCTACCACTATCTGGCCTATCGTGGCCTCTATCAATATTTGGCCAATCGTGGCCTCTCTCTCTGAGGCCTCTGTGGCCCATCTCCTCTACTGTATAAGCTAATACTTTAAGCTATAATCTGATACATTCTTTAACACTCGTACATTATGACCAATTAAATCTAATCTTTTGTCCATATGTTCTAGGATCTAAAGAAATACTTTGTCTGGTGGGTATTTCATTTTCTTCTTTCTTTTGGGGGTAGGCTCCGCCCTGCCTTCATCTTCGGCAGGAATAGTTGGAATCTACAATGTCTGATTCAAGCTATGGATGGGGCCTACGCCAAAATAATTCTGTTCTTTGTATTGGTTTTGTAAATAAATACTTCGGAGTTCTATGTTCACCTCCTGAGTCTTTCTGGTAGAACTATGTTTTTATAAGATGTCGAACCAAAAAAACGAGCGATTAAAGACACAAAAGTAGTGCGTGACGTGTCATATTACTCTGAGAACTACGCCCACTGAAGGGAAACATAATCGGCGACAGGAAACATTCATAATTTTTAATTTAAAAATGTAGCTTACAGAAATATAATATATAAAACTGAAATTTGGATATTTGACTGACCAGTGACAAAATGTTTACTGCACACGTAGGCATACTGAGTGTCAGGATCCCACAATTTACCCATTCTTCCTGCTGATGCTTCATGTCTTATTGCCTGAATCCACTTTTGTCTCCTTTAAGGCTGGCTTTCACGGTTCGGTAGCTTATAAAAACTTAGTTCTGTTTTTTTGTTTGTTTGTTTACTGTACACCTTTTAGGCATGGTTCAGCTTTTTGTAATAAGTCAGAAATGACAAGGAGGCAGCTTTCCGCAATACAAAGTCAATGGAGAGGGTTTGATTGTTTCCCCCCCTGTGTGGGCGTGGCCTAAATGCGCTTTGTCTCTATAGAAAGTGTTTTTAACCTCCAGTCTCCATAAAATGTTGCATGCTTGTTTAGAATAATATGATGCATGACTTTACGCAGTTTTGTGAAGTTTTGAGTTTTCTTAAAGGATTCATAGGCTTTTGGGTACACTATCAAGACTGTATTATTAAATGGCCTTGTTATAACTGTCTAAATGCAAAGGTTAAATTTTTTATTTATTTTTTTGATAATTACCAAGTGAGTCCAGAGAATTATACTGCTCAATATACATTTTATTGATTTTGAGTTAAAAACCTAGGACTATAAAACAATCTCCATAAAACTTTGCAAGCTTATTTAGAATCCGTCATACATGCTCAATTGTTTAGTTTTGATTTTCGTTTAGGATTTATAGGCTTTTGGGTAAATTTGGACACGCCCCTTTTCTAAATGATCCTGTTATATATACCCAAATAGAAAAATTTGATTTTTAAAAAAATAATTGTTGATAGTCCAGAGAATTGTACTGCAGTGGTTTTATTGAGGTTGAGCGAAAAACCTAAGACTAGTTCAAATCAAGAATATTTAACGAAATGATATGAATTTTGTGTGAATGTGTGAAAGACCACGTGATTACAGAGGCATAAAACTTGTTAGTGCTAGTGGCCTATTTCTTTCAACATTTTTACAGACCCTAGAGCCATGAGTCGAACATGCCCACCGAGTTTCGTTCCGACCGGCCTCCGTTAACCTTGTCTAAAAGGTGCTCAAAATTCATTGGCTGATAACGGCCATGTTTTTTGAGATATGCAGATGCCCTCATACAAAGACACGGCATACACATTTTCAAGTCAATCGGACTAATCGGTGCGTAGTTATAGCGTTTTTTTTGTACTTACCTCAAATTGAGCTCTTACATAAGTGTTCCCAGTTTGGCAAAAATATCTCTTTCCATTCAACAGTTATAGGTGTTTTAGTTAAAGCAGTTCCACCCCTTAGGAATGTTTTGGCATCCGGTCGCGACGGTGAGTCAAAAGTTCAACTTTTTTGATAATTGTTATTCACTCTCCAGAGAATCTTTCTGCACTGGTTTGGTTCCGATCTGCTAAAAAAATCTAGGAATAGTTCGCAAAAATAGGTTTTTCAACAAATCCAAAAAACCCGAAAGGGTGATGACGGAATCTGATGCGTTTTGTCCATTGTGAGCCAAGGCTTCCAACTATATGACACTTCAGCCTGTGACTAACAATTTAGGCGCGATTTTGTACTTTTGATCACTGGTGACGTTGTAGACGGTGTGAGTACTACCATCCCTCCAAGTTTCGAGCCTCTACAATTTATGGTTTGGTCCGCCCGGTCACTTTTAGGTGGAGAATGCTGATCCTTGGCCTTTCTAACAATTACAGTAGGGTTTCAGCGCTAAGCGCTTAACCCCTATAAGGATATCATAATAATTTTGAAAAATCATTTATGATGCTCTTCAAATGATGCAATGTTGAAACGCTTTTGGAAAGTAAAGTTAAATAGTAGCCTATTAGAATGAATGTACTATGTATTTAAAAGTTAAGTAAATGTGTATTTTATTTAAATGGTATTACAAAATAGCCTTTTAAGTATTCTTTTATGAGTACAAAAAGTAAAACAGAACACTGATTTTAGGCATGCTTATGTAGCGTCTGGACCACTCCAACACACAATATATATTTTGTTAGCTAGATTTCACAAATATGTGTGTGTGTGTGTGTGTGTGTGTATGTGTATGTTAGACCGGCTTTATGTGTTTATGTAGTATGTTAGACTAGTTTAAGTGTTTATGTAGTTAATAAAACCTTACTTGTATCACACTTGACGTGTTCATTGTTTACTCATAACCGGAGTCAATAATCATGCAGATTTACGTTACAAACTTATAGAATTGTACAGTAAGAAAGTTATTTCCTTTAACCAGGAAATTAACGTTCTTAGAATTGACAAGACGGTTGACCCTGAGTGGTCGGCTAAATATCTACAGTGGATCTAAAATATGAATAGTTAATTATAACTAGTTATGGTTAATTATTCATATTTCCCATGAGCTAAATTCGCTACACTTATTACTAAGGCATAGTTAAAAAAATTATATTTCTAATACATAGGTTGGTACAATGTAAGAATGCTCTTGCATATTTTATAGCTGTAATGTACAATGTGTGAGTGAATTAATATTCTTCATAAAATATATTAAAACGTTAGTTTTTTTAAGATACCTTACCTTTGAAAAGCAGGCTAAAGTACATTCATTACATAAATGCATACTATAAACCTAAAAATGTTCTAACACAAAGTAAACTTAAATATTATTTAAATAATAGTAAAATAAGTATGTTTTCTGTAAATACACTAAAACGTCATAAAAAGCACATTTTGAATACATTTAAGAGTACTTTTTCACCTGAGTAGTAACTCTGTCTATTGTTTGACTATATCTGGCAATACAATCACCATAATGATAAGCTATAAGAACTGCTTCTTCTGCACAGCCTGAGGTGTAATTCAAACAATAACGATCGGAACAATAAACTTTGGAACAACAAATAAAAACCTTAATTTGATATAAGGTGATAACTTCAGCATTGACCAAAGTTTGACAGCGCCATAAAAACTGCATGAGCAAAGCATATCAGTATTTTCAGCTGTAATGAATAGTGAGTAATGAATGTAATCTGGCATCAGTGCATAATGGCCCCATAAAAGTTATTATTCATGATATCATATCGATATCATGATATCAAGGTTATGAAACGGAGGGGCAGTTAGGGTCATTATCATGCCATATCTGTGATCATGTGAAATCACTGGTCATGCTATTGATAGATACATAATCAGCACAGATACAAATGCGTAGCACATTATAACAAAAATTCGCCACATTTGGCACACTGATTGATCACTATTGATGTATTGTTTGATGTATTGATATGGTCATGACATATCGTCTATGTCCATCCCATTCTGAGTGCAAAACAAGATGCTTTTAAGGTTTAAAGCACGATTATCCTCCATCTTGATCCCATTTACTTACTGGCCACCACACCATACTTCTGCCAGCCAGGAAAAAGCCTCCCACTGTGGATCGATTGGTCCGTACCATTGCCTTTGGACAGAAAGAGTCATTCAATTCAGCATATATACAGTTCTAGACTCTTAAAATATTAGACAAAATTGTATGTGACATCATAGCTGCAGGATCAGACTCGTTTAAGAATAACATTGGTGGACTCAAAGGTTGATGGATTGGTGTTCAATGTCTTTGTTGTTTGATTAAATATGTTTGAATTTTCTCAAGAGGTTTTAAAATGATACGGATTTCGGATGTGCAAATACAAGAAAAATATGGTGTTATCAAGAAATTCCAGAAATGTCAACGCCCTCAACAAGACTAATTTGTAAATAATTTCTAAAAATGTGTACATTTCTAAAAAAATATTTTTAGTTTTAAGCAGATAGAAGTATGATTAATAGTTCATTCACATAAGAATTATTAAAAAACAATATTAGAGCAATTAATTTTTCTTAAAGGATTTTAGCTTTTTGGATTATATTACAATGTATTATAACTTTCTGCTAAATCAGCTACCATCAACATTCTGTCTTCAGACTTATCTTATACAGCCATTTATAATGTACATTACATTTATATTTTGATGAAAAGTTAACAATTCACAAGTCTGTCAATGGTAGAAATATATTTTACAGAAACTATTGACCACTTACCCATATTCCCACAGCTAGAACCACCAGAAAATATATAACAATCACTGAGATGTCCGCTGGATTGTTAATATATATGGTGATGTTTTTTTTGTTCTCATTGCGTATCCAAGAGAATCCAAAATAATCTTCACCCATTTTGAAGTTTAAAGGGCCAGTGGAGCAGCACACTGCGTCCCTCTCTGACACAACAGTAAAGACACCTGGATCACACGCTCACCTGCAGGTGTATGAACGTATCTGCATGTGCACACATTCACTTATGTGTCTAGAGATAGGTGCGACCTTCTCAGAGTTAATTATAAAAGTGTGTTTGTATTTTGTCAAAAATCTGAGATTGAGAATCCTTAATGATTAACATGTATGGCAGGTGTATAGCAAATGTGAGACTGGTAGGGGGTAAATTATGTAAAAGTAAAGATCCAATACTTCAATCTATGGTGCAGACATTAGTGTATACACAGTATACAACATTGGTTATGTTATGTTAAGGACACCCTGAGGTGCTTTGTGGCATTACAGCTTCAAGACAAGAAAGTAAAAATGGCTAATGAAACATCAAATGACAACCATTACAAATTTAGCATTTAAGCTTCCTACACTACAGATGGCGTAATTAATAGATATGAATAACCACATGGATATGAAAGGTCCATTATCTATTAGCAATGAATGAAGCACATATTACACAGATGTCAAACCAAGCAGATCTCTGTTGGTGTAACGAATTAGTCCACTGAAGGCGAGCGTAGTGAAGAACCCAAGTGCACTTTATTTACAGGTGATCCAAACAATAGCCAAACAGACGAAGACTAGATACACAGACTTGACTTGACGAGGCATGAACAGACTTGACGAGAACAGACTTGACTAGACTCACCGACAGCGGGTTACAACATCAATACATGACGAGAGACAATGGCAACATGATGGCTACTTATAGCAAACAAGAGGGTCACATGACAAGAACAAACCAATGGGAAACAAGACACATGACTAGGACAACCAATCAGAACATGACACATACACAAGAAAGAGATACATGAGGGCAAGGGAAGCATGACACAAAAAGCATGAAACAATTACAAAATAAAAGACATGAAAACATGAACATGAAACAAAAAAATATGAAGAAGATAGGGCAGAATTAAAGGCACAAATGGATGAACAAAGCATGACACTTGAGCATTTATTAGGGAAAGCATCTGGGAGAATACACAATTTATTAATGTTATTTTTGAAAAACACTGGGTTAAGTGAAAGAATTTAATAGGGACTTTATTTTTTCTCTCTCCACCTCTCCTTTGATGTCAGTCTAATACCCACACTCCAGCCTAGTAGGTGGCGGTAATGCACCTTTGAGATGAGTTGCCAACCGCCATTAAACCTGAAAGAAGAAGAAGAAGATGAACATGAAACAAAACCCAAACCCCACATTACAGTTGGCCAACAAGGCAAATTTGCTAAAAAAAATTTGACCCCAATGCAAAATCTGCATTGTAAAATTCTTCGCCATTTTGCAAACTTACAAATCATGCAGATTCCCATGGAAATGACCGGATTTTGCTTACAAGACCAATGGTAAATATGACCGCACCATAACTGGCTAATCGCACTACTAACTGCTGTTCTCTTTCAGTCGGTCACTTCAATGTTGTGTCGAAGTTGACACTAGGGGTCGCTCTCAGGAGCTCAGACACCTCTGACATCATTGAGAAAAGGCCAATGAAATTGACAAGCAAAATTGGCATCTCATCGTCATTGGATATATGGCACAGGCAGTGGTCTCTTCCTTCCCCACACACAGCTAAGTGTTGTGAGAGTACCCCTGGGTGCTTCAATGCCGTATATTGAGAACAAATTTCCTCTTAAAAGTGTAAATTCTCTGAAAGATGGGTGGAATCGTGTGTTTACATCATGACTTTCCATCTGTGCCCTTCTGGTTGCGGTTTCTACATCTCTCCTAATGACCAGCACGATCGCTGCGTTCAGTGCTTGGACCGTACTCGTGCTGAAGCTGCCCTCGTGGATGGTTCATGTTCTGTTTGAGTGCAATTTCTCATTCAGGGCTCGTGAATAGGATGAGCTGTCGATCGCCACATCAGAGGGCAGGCTAGAACCAACCGAAGTTGATGACTCGACAGAACCGGCGCCCTCGGGTGCCGAGTTTCAGTCTGAGGTAGAGACCTGCACTCCCGCGGGACCCAAAGCAACAGGGTGCGGTGCGGGACAACTCTTGATGGGCGAGTGCGGGTGCGGGCGGGAAGAGGCTTGTGTGTGTGCGGGATGCAGGAGAATAAAATTATTCACGGGACTCCCGCAAAATAGAAATGATCTAAACATAAAATGTCTAAAACATATAAATTGTTATTTATGTGTTACACAAAAGCAAAAAGAACAACTAATAACATTAAAATTATTAACACGCGTTTCTATTTATAACACATGTTTAAAGGGTTACGCAATGTAGCCAATCACAGACTCAGCTGTTGATTTCTGGAACGCAATGGCCAACCAGAGGTGATTAAGTTAGAATCCACTCACCGCAGTGCTGAAATTGCGTGCTCACGAATAGTCTAATTTTAACACACGAAGTGTAGACATTGTGAAATATTCATTGTGCAATGTGCATATGTTCATTGTGTTATAACAGAGCTTTATGAGATCACGATGAACTGAGATGTCAGCTTTTAGTGATAATAAAGGAAGCGTTGCTCGCATTCTGCCATGCCAAACCATGCACACAGCAGCCCATGCTTGCTTTTCTGTTAAAAATAACAGTGGTTTGTGAATGTTGATGCTTAGCCTAAATAACAAATATTTTATCGGGAGCATTTATGCTGGGATGTTGTGGATCTTAGGAGATGTTACAGAACCATTTAATGTACATTTCTTTGATGTGCTGAAAAAAATCTATATAGATTACTTTTATGCTGGCTTTTGCGGGCAGGAGCGGGACAAAACATGACTGTCGTGGGCGGGAGCGGGCCCAGATAAGATATTTTTCTGCGGGAGCGGGCAGACGCGGGAAAGAATTTTGCGGGAGTGGGACTGAAAAATCCATCCCGCGCAGGTCTCTAGCCTGAGGCAAATGCTGAGATGGCGGGGCAGCCAAGAGCATGGGGCTTGAGTGGACGACTCCACCCTGTCCTGAATGCTCTCGGCTGGATGACTGGTTTCTAAGCTACGCCCAGCCCCAGTTCCTTTCTTTCCGGAGGTGCATGAAGGTGCCTCATAGCCAGAACACAATATACCACATGGCAGAGGACTGAGATTAGTTTGCAGCAATAGACCTGAAGGACGCGTACTTTCATGTCTCGATCCTTCCCAGGCACAGGCTGTCTCTTCAGTTTGCCTTCGAAGGGCAGGCATATCAGTACAAGGTTAGTCCCTTCGGGCTGTCCCTGTCTCCTCGAATACTTTCAGAGGCTCCTAGGGCATATAGCATTCTCATCCGCGGTTACGCCGTTGGGACTGATGCATATGAGACCGCTTCAGCACTGGCTTCATACCTGAATCCCGAGATGGGCATGGCACCGAGGCACACATCATGTGAGCATCACAACAGAGTGTCGCCGCACTTTCAGCCCTTGGAAGGACATCTTGTTTCTACGAGCAGGGGAGCCCTTAGAGCAGGTGTCCAGATGCATTGTTGTCACAACAGATGCTTCCAAGATGGGCTGGGGTGCTGTATGCAACAGTTGTGCAGCCTCCGGGGTCTGGACGGGCCCTCGGCTGCATTGGCATTTCAATTGCCTGGAGATGTTGACAGTGCTTCTGGCCTTGAGGAGGTTTAGACCATTGATCCAAGGCAAGCACCTGTTTATCCAGACACACATTCCTGGTGACCTCAATTGTGCAGTGTGGAGGCTTCACCCCAGACAGTTCAGCTGATTTGGAGTCGATTCAGTCAGCGCAGATAGACCTGTTTGCCTCGCCAGAATCCACCCATTGCCCACTGAGATATTTCCTTTACCGAGGCCCCCCTCGGCACGGACGCACTGGTGCACAACTGGCCCAGGGAATTACGCAATGTGTTTCCCCCGGGGAGCCTCATTGCACAGACTCTGTGCAAAGTCAGGGAGGACAAGGACCAAATTTTGTTGGTGGCATCATATTGGCCCAACAATTCTTGGTTCTCGGAGCTTGTGCTGTTGGCTTCAGCTCCTCCTTGGCAATTTCTCCTGAGGAGGGACCTTCTCTCCCAGGGGAAGGGCACAATCTGACACCAGCGCCCAGATCTCCGGAACCTCCATGAAATGGCGTATTTTCATGAATTGATGTTCTTCCTATGGGAAGGATCCTTGGAGATGTGGCATCGGATCTGTGCTCTCCTTCCTCCAAGAGGGCCTGGACAGGCACTTGTCTGCTTCTACACTCAAGGTGTATGTGGCTGCAATTGCAGCAGATCACAACACTGTATATGGCAGATCAGTGGGGAAACACGATCTGGTTATCATATTCCAAAGATAAGATGAGTCCAGTTCAGTTCCTTTTTATGAACCATGGACTACTCTTCCATCACTCAAAGCACTCTAACATGGCTGAGTTCAGCGGAGGAATTTGCTACAAGAACCATTACAGGGAAATATCCCTCAAGTGAATGGATCTTGTAATGGATTAGTGCCCCATATGCCGTGGCTCCCTCTGGTGGACCCATATGTATATTAGTCCACTGCCCTGTTCCGTAAGGATTCAGTGTTTCCCCTAGAAAGACAGTCAATATTTTGCTTGTTTCTGTGTTTGGTAGCTCTCCCCTTATGTGGGGCCCACCATAGAAATCTTCCCTATGAAGTACTTCCTTTCAGTAAGTCCTTGGGTTGTTCTCCACATGTCACCTCCCCTTCGGGTAGGATGTGGTCTCTGTAGTGTCCTTTCCCCACTCGGGAAACAGATGCTTTCACAACATTAATCACCAGAACTTTTCAACCGTTACTTATTCCTACTTTCTCAGAGTGAGAGGCTCCAGCTGAGGTGACCTCTGCCTTATATGGCACCCCCATGGACTCATAATGCAGTTCAGTAGCTGTGACGTTTAGTATAGGGACCCCTAGTGTTACCTTTGACACAATGTTGAAGTGACCGACTGAAAGGCAATGTCTCGGGTAGGGATGAAACAATTACTGCTTTGACGATAA